AATAACTGTGATCACTGAATTACGTCGCGCACCTCGGCCTTTTTGCCAGCGGTCGGGGCCCGGGGGTGTGACATGCGATAATGGTATGTTTATATAATGTTAGAGCTTCAGATCAAATATCTTATTACGAACGATTCAAATCATACCGTACACTACACTTACTATACGTGAAACCCTAATAGGACCAAGGCAACAAATGTTAGTAACATCAGTTTGTTATGATTATACACATAAATTAGCACTATGTTTGACAAATATTTCCTTTTTATATCCAAACAAACCTTATGAATAATGTATACAAAATTGATAGTTTGTATTAGCCCAACATGCTCATTGAGTTTTAGTAAGTGAACTTGTTAAAAACTCATACCCATGGAACAACCATTTTACATTTCTAGTAACATGTTTAAGTAGCTCCCGACATGCATTTCAACGTATCAGCAATAAAAATTGACATCTCATTCTTAACCATCACCAAATTCTTTCTAATTTCTTTTTGTTTCCTTTTGGACATACTTTTCCTCAATCTAAAAATTTTTTTTGTCACTTCCTTACAACTCCCATCCAGGCTACATACACTTTCATAAAACCCACCTCCTTCCACGGTGAAAACATTGTCTCCTCAACCTCATCCTGTACATGATATCAAGATAAATGCCTTTCTATTTCACCAATTTTTTTCATTTACAAACGCTCAAACAAAACACCATCTCATTTCATTGTTTTATATTATGTAATTTTGCTAGCCAAAGCCTTGGTTAATTTTTTCAAATTCCTTTCCAACTTATTGACTATTAAGATTCACACAAAGACGTGCTAGACTAGGACACATTCATTACAAGAGATTAAAAGACATGTCTAAAATGAGTTTAATTCCTGCTTATGATATGCAAAATAATGAAAAATGTAAAACATGCATGCTAACTAAAATCACTAGATAACCTTTCAAAGATGTTGTTAGGGAAAGCAAGGTGTTGGAACTTATACATAGTGATTTATGTGATTTCCATGCAACACCTTCCCTTGGAAACAAAAAGTATGTTGTTACTTTTATTGATGATGCATCTAGATATTGTTATGTCTATTTGCTACATTCCAAAGATGCAGCTCTTGATAAATTTAAGATTTATAAACAAGTGGTTGAACTTCATAAAAGTGAATTAATAAAAGTTTTACGTACTGATAGAGGTGGTGAGTATTATGATCCGGTTTATTTTGAATCAACTGGAATGATACATCAAACCACAACTCCTTATACACCACAACAAAATGGTGTAGCTGAAAGGAAAAATAGGACTTTAAAAGAAATGGTTAATTCCATGTTGTCCTATTCAGGTTTAAGTGAAGGTTTCTGGGGTGAGGCTATGTTAACTGCATGTTATATTTTGAATATAACTCCAAACGAAAGGAGTAAGAATACTCCTTATGAACTTTGTTGTAAAATGGTACCAAATTTGAGTTATCTCAAAGTTTGGGGTTGTCGAGCAGTTGTGAGGCTCACTGAACCCAAAAGGAATACATTGGGTGAAAGAGGTATAGATTGTATCTTTATTGGATATGCTGAGCATTCCAAAGCTTATAGATTCTATGTTTTAGAATCTAATGACTCTATGTCTGTGAACACTGTTATAGAGTCAAGAGATGCTATCTTTGATGAAGAAAGATTTACATCTATACCTAGACCAAGGGACATGATTCAACAATCTTTCAGCAAGAACACAACTCAAGCTGAAGATGCTTCTGGTGGTACATGTTCTGTGTCTGAACTTAGTAAGAGTACTAGAGCTAGAAAAGCTAAATCTTTTGGATCTGATTTTCAACTATATTTAGTTGAAGGAACAAGAAATGAGACTGTGTCTCAACATCAATATTGTTTTAATATTGAGGAGGATCCAAAGACTTTCAATGAAGCTATGGCTTCTAGGGATGTTCATTTCTGAAAAGAGGCAATTCAGGATGAGATTGATTCTATCATGCATAACAATACTTGGGTATTGTCTGATTTACCTCCCGGTTGCAAGGCATTAGGATGTAAATGGATCCTCAAAAGAAAAATGAAGGTGGATGGCACAATTGATAAGTATAAAGCCATATTGGTTATCCAAGGCTTTAGACAAAAGGAAGGAATTGATTTCTTTGATACTTATGCTCCTGTTGCCAGAATTTCTACTATTAGATTATTATTAGCTCTTGCAGCTATACAAAGTCTTTTGATTCACCAAATGGATGTGAAAACTGCATTCTTGAATGGTGACTTGGATGAGGAAATATACATGAAACAACCTGAAGGGTTTGTGATGCCTGGAAATGAACACAAAGTGTGCAAGTTAAAGAAATCATATGGTTTGAAACAAGTACCAAAACAATGGCATCAAAAGTTTGATGATGTTGTCTTGTGTAATGGTTTTGCATTAAACCAAGCTGACAAGTGTGTATATAGCAAATTTGATACTTCTGGTAAAGGAGTCATGATTTGTTTATATGTGGATGATATGTTGATTTTTGGTACTGATTTAGAAGAAGTTGATAAAACCAAGAAATTTTTATCATCTAGTTTTGAAATGAAAGACCAGGGGGAGGCTGAGGTAATTCTTGGTATAAGAATTAAACAAGGAACCAATGGGATTTCAATTTCTCAATCTCATTACATTGAGAAGATAATGAAAAAGTTTAACTTTGAGAATTGTTCTCCTGTTAGCACTCCTATAGATCCTAGTCTCAAGCTTCTACCAAATAAAGGATCTCCAATGTCTCAACTTGAATATTCTAGGGCTATTGGTTGTCTAATGTATGCCATGATTAGTACTAGGCCTGATATAACATATGTTGTGGGAAGGCTTAGTAGATATACTAGTAATCCTAGTTCACATCATTGGCAAGCTGTGAGTAGAGTATTCAAGTACTTGAAAGGGACCATGAATTATGGTTTAACTTATAGTGGATATCCTTCTGTTTTGGAAGGTTATTCAGATGCCAGCTGGATTAACAACTTAGAGGATCACTCCTCTACAAGTGGTTGGGTGTTTCTTCTTGGAGGAGGTGACATTTCTTAGGTATCTAAGAAACAAACTTGTATTACTAACTCAACCATAGAGTCTAAGTTTGTTGCATTATCTGCTGTTAAAGAAGCTGAGTTGCTAAGGAATTTGATTTATGAAATTCCATTATGGCCCAAACCGATATCTACCATTTCTATCAGATGTGATAGTGTTGCAACCTTGGCTAAGGCTTATAGTCGAATGTACAATGGAAAGTCTAGACATTTAGGTGTTAGACATAACATGATTCGTGAGCTCATCATGACTGGTGTGATATCTGTGGAGTTTGTAAGAACTCAGTTGAATTTAGCCGATCATCTAACCAAAGGGTTAGCAAGAGATCTTGTGCACAAGGCGGCTGTAGGGATGGGTTTAAAATCCACTTAAAATCTTTTATATTGAGATACCTAATTCCCATCTAATGCAATATTATATATTGAATTCAATGTGGAAAGCTTGATATTTGAAGATTGGAACACATTTTTATGATAATCCCAAGGTATGTGTTCAGTACTGCAAGTTAAGGAGGTTGAAAATTTATTTCTTAATAGTTCTTTGAAAAATTGCATTTGCAGGTGCAAGAACAAAAGAACTACCTATATAAGCATGAAGTTTAGCTGCTTCAAGAAGTTGGGACTTGGCTTTGATATGCTTATTGAAGGATGGGACACAAGCTAGTAAAATATAGTGTCAAGTTAGAACTTTGAGAGTGAAAACTGTTGTGTATAATATCTTCATGTATTCACTTAGAATAGAAAGGGTTCAATCCTTAGTGACACCCTGATATTCGAATATTTGGAATGAATAATATACTAATGTGAAATTCAATCGTCACGATATTTCATTTATGCATCAGTTTGTTGTTGTTATGATTTTATTTTAAGTTAATCAAGATTACACTTAAACGGGGGAGGTTTGTTGGTGATTTTATATTACTAATATTATTTAAGTGTAATGAGGTTAATTTGTTGATCAATGTCACTTTGACAATTATCGAACAAATTAGTATGGTGCGGAGTGCACATTTGTTTGATTTTGTCATTGTTGAAAGTATACTGCTATTTAGGGGCGAAGTCCCTGAACTGACGGGGGTCGGGGGGCAGCGCCCCAGGGAGCGAGTCCAAGGGGCGGCAGCCCCTGGCGGGGTCTAAAGGGCAGAGCCCCTGGTTGGGGTCGAGCTGCCAGGTCAGTGCGAAAATTTTTATATATGTTATGTTACTATATTAAAAATGCATCAGAAATCCAGATTTTTGGTAAATGTACCCGGTTTTTTGATCCATCTTCTAGACCCGGATTTAAGTTGGTTTATGACGTTTTGACAGTTTTAGGACATAAAACTGTCATATGGCAGTTTTAAGACAGGAAGTTTTTTTGGTTATATGATCATATTCGAAATTTGTGGTTGTTACACTTCTTCTTCATAACATCTTGAACATTCTCTCTTCTGTTTTCTCAATTTTCTGAGTCTTATCCGATTAGAGATTGGGAGTACCACCCAAATACTTTCATCTGAAAGTGTTTAACACGATTCTCAGAATTTCCAAGCCTTTCTATACCCAAAATCTCTAACATAAAAGTAGGGAAATTTTATTTGTTATTAGCACATCGTCTAAAGCCTCCAATGATATCATTTTTATCTGTTACCAAGACATTGTTATTCACTTATTCTCTCGCCTATTGCCAGTCATTCCTATAACCACACAACCCGAAAAATCTCATATGCTCGATAACCAAATTGAAAATAATAAAAAACAATATGATTAACTTAAAAATCCACATGATTTTCCAATTTTGGAGTTTGGATATTTAAAACACATTCTCTTGAGATTTGAAGGACAAACAAGTATTTCTCATTTGAGGTACAATAGAGTTTGGGTCAAAATTGCCAAATCTAGTAATAGTGAGGATGCAAAGTGAAATTCTACTTAAACACACCGCCTTTGCCGAGAACGACCCGACTCACATGTGTAAGGAAAACGCCGGTTAAAAAAACAGGAACTCAAGCGAGAACCTCCATTAACGTTGGGGAGAGCCAAAGAGGCAGTGGCACCACCAATATTCATATCAATTGAGCTTCGAAGAAATGGCCGCAATCTTAGCTCGCAAGTCTATCTCTGCTCTTCGCTATCGCCAGCTCGTAAGACCCGTCTTCTTCTCTCACGCACGCACACACTAAATTTCAGTTAAGATCCTGCGGATTGAATTTGTTACTTGTTAGGGTTTTGGATATGTTATACATGACCGATCGAAGTTCGTTTTGGATTTTGTGATCATTTTTTATAGGTGGATTAATATTTTTTTAGGGTTTTGATTTGTCGGATTGTTTATAAGCTTCAGATGAAATTTGGTTGAAGTCGACTGCCAAATTTCGGAAGCGTGCTACATTGTCTCATTGAGTTCGTTATTTTGAATCATTTCTATCTGCAGCATAATACCTGTTCTTTTTCTTGCCCGAATTGCGTGTAATTCTACTGTCCTTACTGTTTAAGGTAGCACCTGTGCTGTATTTACCTAAAGAATGTGCCATTTTATACAAAGGGAAGAAGAATTAGTTAATTTGTAATTCATCATGCCAACACAAGTGTGAATTCGAATGACCACTTGAAGAACAGAGAAAACTTTGGCTCTAAAGTTATGTCCAATCACCAATGTCCTCATTTATTTCATGAAGTAAATCCTTTTAGATCAGTTTCATGATGTTCAATTTCTTGATTTCATGCCAGACTGTAGCAGGACAAGTATTGCAGGGCCCTAACACCAGTGAGACAGTTTCCGGTGCACGCTTGTTTGCAACTAAACACTCCTTTTCCACTGATAAAGGTATGTGATATGGAGCTAAGTTTCTATCATACAAGATCATGTTTACATTGAGTATATTGATATGTATAAACATGTATTTATTTTTATCAAAATAAAAGGAATGATGCTAGTTCTTATTGCTTTTAGATGATGAAGAAAGAGAGAAGCTTGCAAGGGATATCTCAAAAGACTGGAGTTCTGGTACTCTCAACAATTTTTTTTTTTGCTAATTCTTTGAAGTTTTATCTTTTTTCTTTTCTTCCATTTTTTCGTGCAACTTATGATTCTTACGTGAATTATTTTCAGTTTTTGAACGGAGCATTAATACGTTATTTCTAACTGAACTGGTTCGAGGTTTGTCTCTGACACTCAAGTACTTCTTTGAGCCAAAAGTTACTGTAAGTGTTTAACATTAAATCCTTTAGTTTCATCTATTTGTTGTTTTCCAAAAGGCAAATTAAAATTAATTCTGTTTATTTAACTGATTCATATTTAGATCAATTATCCATTTGAGAAGGGTCCTTTGAGCCCAAGGTTTTCGAGGAGAACATGCCCTCAGACGTTATCCAACTGGAGAAGAACGTTGTATTGCTTGCAAACTTTGTGAAGCTGTAAGCTTTACTTTAATTTTGCATTTGAGAGGTTTGGCAAAGATAAGTTTTTGCTAAAATAAATTTAGTACAACGCTGACGTGGCAATAAAAATAAGTCATTATAAAGTTCATACATCGGATATGCTCTAAGGTTCATGTATCATATTCTTTAAAGTGATAAGTGTTCCACCTACTCTACATAAAAGGACACAAATAATGTACTTTATGTCTCCCCACTTAACAATCGTTAATTTTGTCCTATTCACATCAGTCCAATGCAAACCAAACACAGTACAACCTGTTAAGACCTAATTGTAGCTTGCACCCAACTTTGTCCTAATTGTTTTAATCATTGGTGTTTTAGATATGTCCAGCTCAAGCTATTACTATTGAAGCCGAGGAGAGAGAAGATGGGAGCCGTAGAACAACAAGGTGAAACCACACACACACACACACACTCTCTCTCTCTCTCTCTCTCTCTCTCTCTCTCATTGAGTGAATCATATTGTAGGTATGATATTGACATGACAAAGTGTATCTACTGTGGATTTTGCCAAGAAGCATGCCCTGTTGATGCCATTGTTGAAGGGCCCAACTTTGAGTTTGCCACCGAGACTCATGAGGTTCGTGTAAATTAATCCAAAAATAATATATATTTTTTAAAATCGAAGATAAAAGTACTGCTGATAAGTATACCTAATTGTATCCGTGAAAATTGGTTTGTATTTTTATGACATTGATATAATTGGGTTTGACTTTTCAAACGAATAAATAAAATTATGATGCTGTATAATATCTTTTTCGTTCTTTATGCATTTGTAATTATTACAGGAGCTGCTATATGATAAGGAGAAATTGCTTGAAAATGGGGATAGATGGGAAACAGAGATTGCTGAGAATCTTAGATCCGAGAGCTTATATCGATAAACAGTGTTTTTCCGATATAATCTTTTGAGAATAAAGGGACCCACACTATCAATATAATTTGTTTTGGTCAAAAATACCCTTGAAAATTGTAGAATGTTCAACAAAATAGATGATGACAAATTCACAAATAAAGACTTTGTGGCTTTCTTAAGATGATATAGAGCAACTCCATGTATTTTTATTTGAGTATAAGTGTATGACCTACGAAGCATTAGAAGAGGACATGAAATTGAGCAGTACGTATAATATGTGTTTTCAACAAAATTAAATATGCTTATATGCAATTTATTAAACGAGTTATCTTTATTTAATTAGAATTTATTTTTTAATTAACATTCTTTTCTTTATTTATTAACTTTACTTTATTTAGTTTTCTATTTGTTAATTACACACAGAATATGTCTGAATGATTCATTCCATTTCTTTGAGCTAACCAAACATGAAAACATATTATAATGGTTTATTCCATTGTCTTTTTTCATTTTATTAAACTGTTCATTTGATTTTTAATGATTTTAATTGCTCTATTTTTTTTATAAGTGTTTCCATTAACATAATCAAGAAGAATATCAAATCCATAATTTGATTATGAGATTTAGAGGGTGTTCGTTTGTTGTTTGAGTAAAGTTTTGATTGAATCAATGTTTGATTAAGTCACCCTAGACCTTATTATGCGACCTAATAAGAGGCATATCAAAAGCTATAGGACCGATCTTATTATGAGACCTGATAAGAGACATATCAAAAGCTATAGGACGAGACCTGATAAGAGACATATCAAAAGCTATAGGACCGAAACAGCCTCTTATCAAGCCCAATAATAGGTATACAAACGTCACAAAGCCTTACAAGGATAATGTAAGAATCAAAGATAAAGGGTTATGAAATTTAAGGATAGTGGAAAAGTTTTATACTCGTCTCATAATGCATCAATAGCATTTAGCAATTCTTTACTTGCTTTTTGTCAACATTGAAATATAGGACAATAAAACGGACATTCAAACAACTCTTATTTGAAATGCCAGGATACAAAAAGCGTTGTGTGATTGATTTTAAGAGGTTTGTGGGAAGATACAAAGAACAAGACAGACTTTTAGCATATATATAATATATATATATATATAGATATATATATATATATATATATATATATATAGATATATATATAATATATATATATATATATATATATATAAGGACCAACAACGAACTCTTAAAACAAGAGCGAACCAACGAACTATATATTCTTTTTCTTTTCTCCATTGAGCGACACACACACCAGCCTCTTCTCTCTTGAAGATTGATCGCAGGTTCTCTCCCTCTTTTCTTAGCCTCTCCGATTGATCTCAACCATTCATTTCTCCATTCAATCGATCACATATTCCTCTCCTTTTTCTCAAGTTTCAATTGAATTGTAAGGAATACCGAAGAACAGGGCAGGGCAGCTGGTTGGAGATGGTGCAATGCATTGCACCAAAATTTTTAATTATTCAAGTTTAGAGATTCATGGAGAATAGTGTTGAGAATAATGTTGATATCGAACGTGAAGTTGGAGAAAAAAACAATGCATTAATCAAATGCATAGTTTTTTTTTTCAAAGCTTCATTTTTCAGTCACACCCCCTTAGCGAATTCACTTTTCCTTTCCTTCTTAAAGCATGCTCGAAGCTCAAACTACTCCCTCATGGCCAAATGTTTCATGCCCATCTCACAAAAATTGGGTTCAATTTAGATATATACCCCACAACATCCTTCACTGACATTAACTTTAAGTTTCAATTCATGGAATGTGCACTCAAGGTGTTCGGCGAAATTACCGAACCAAATACAATATTGATCAACGTTGTCATATATGGGTTTTCCCAAAATGCGTATTACAAGAAATCTTTGGACATTTTCATATGCGTTAGTGAGTATGTACTTAACCCCGATTCTGTCACCATTGCTAGCATATCAAGTTCAGAAAATGAAGAAAACAGAGAATTTGACAGCTTTAGTGATTCAACGAAGGGATTGTTGGGAAGTAATTGTATGAATCATAAGACTTTTGTACGTCTATCAAATGGAGAAACGTTTTCATTATGACAGTGCTTGCCTATAGATGACTCTGATAAAATTCTATTTGATCATGATTTACAAGGGTTTATGTGTAACATCCTGTTTCAAGAAGTTTCTTATTTTAGGATTGTGAACAATAAATGGATCAAGTAAAGGCCCTGGGCTTCAAGGGAATAGAGTTTAGACCTAATTTGGATGTTGATAATATTGGTTATGTGATCTCAACCCTTGGTTTGTGTATTGGAGTCAAAAGGTAAAATGGAAAAAGTGATGTTTTAGACTTCTTTCATGGATTATGGTTTTTAGTTCGACATGTGTTAAGCCAAAATTTACTAGACAAAAGTGTGGGCCCATACATACCTTTCCGTGGATATAAAGATCGCAGAAAATGGAGTTAAAACGAAGAAGTTATGACTGCTTGAAGTTGAGGTGGATTTGGGTAAAACAGTCGCCACGACACGATAGTTGCTATAGCACGATGAAGCGTGGCCATGACACCGCGATCAGTCAGGCCCAAGCCCATGATTTTTAGGATTTTCAACGTATTTAAGTATAAGGTTCCGACGTTTTGACCATTTTATCAGCCTCCATCACCTTTAGAACCCTTTGGGAGAAACCCTAGCCTCCACCTTCAAGATTTGAGCTTCTCCCTTCTCATCACTCCTCTTTTAGATGCTTTTTATGATATTTTGATGAAGTTTAAAGATCAATAAGGTCCTTTTGATTGCAAGGAATGATGCTTCAAGCTTGGATCCATCAAAGACACTACATTTCTGGACTATTGTAGGTATAAAGTTCCAATCTTGCTATCTAGTTCTTTAGATCTTGTCATTTGGGGGTTTTTGGCACTTTTGGTCCATTTTATGGGGGATCTTGGAGTTGTGTGGACTCCAACATCTTTTGATCAGTTTAGAATGCTTCTTGGACCTCATGGACTAGGAAAGTTATGATATTTTTTCTTCCCTTTTAGTCATGCAACTTATCTTTGTCATTTAGGTCATTTTGGTGTATTAAAGTTTAGATCTTGAAAGTTTGTGGCATTGTTATGGTTAAATTTGGAAAATTTATCCATCTAAACATCATGTTGATTCATATATGAAGGTTGGAGACTTGGACTTAATGGATTAGTAGAGAAAGATGCATTTTTGGGTCCCTTTAAGACTTAAAGTCCAGGTCTTGGTGGTTTGGACCTTCCTAATGGATAAAATTGGAAACTTTATCCATTATAAGACTATTAGGATTTAGATATGATGATTTTAGCTTTGGTCCTTATGGTTTAAGCTTTTATTGGAGAAAAGCTTTTCAGAATGAAGACCACGACGTGGCCTTAAGTTGCCACATCGTCGCGACTGGGGATTTATCGTTTGTTTTGTTGTTTGTGATCCATGACGTGGTCATGGATGGCCACGACATGGCAGTTGACTGAAGTTAACCTTGACCGTCGACTTTTGGCCGTTGACTTTTTGACCAGTTTGACTTTTGGTCAAACTTGGGTAGAATTGAGTATTTGACTAAGGATTGGTTTCGGTTTGGATTTAGGAAGCGTGGGTTGGCTGTTCTGTTACTGAGGTAGCTGTTGGGCTTCTGTTGAGTAGTTTAGATGAGTCTCTACACTGTACTCGTGGGTCGAAGACCCAATGTCAGCTCACTGGATTATGTTTGTAGGATGATGCTGTTTTGTGACACTTGCTAATATGCATGTATGTGCTTGTTGTCTTTGTGACCTTTGCTGATATGCCTGTATGATTTATGTATGTGGGGTGAAATAGACCCGTTTGGTTGCAAAATACCAATTGAGTTGAAATAGACTCGGGGGTGAAATAGACCCGTTCAGTTGAAAAAACCGATGGAGTTGAAATAGACTCGTGGGTGAAATAGACTCGCTCAGCTGAAAAACACCGATGAAGTTGAAATAGACTCGAGGGTGAAATAGACTCGAGGGTGAAATAGAACCGTTATAGCTTCGAGCCGATATGTATGTACGATATGCAGTATTGTGGGGAACTCACTAAGATTTGTGCTTACGGTTTATGTTTAAAATGTTTTAGGTACTTCTGGTTTCAAAAGGAAGGGATCGTTTGAACTCAAACTGAGGATTTGTGCTTAGGGTTTATGTTTAAAATTGCACAACATCCATTGTAGATTTATTCCGCTTTGACTGTTTATGATTTTACTCTGATGTGTTGAGAATGCTTTTATTTTGATCATCTTTTGGGATAATAAGTGAATGGTTTTGGCTTATTTAAAATGAAACTTTGACTTGGTAATTTTGGAACGTTACAAGTTGGTATCAAAGCCTTGGTTTGAGGGAATTGGGCACACTATCGGGTGCGTTTGAACTCAAACTGAGGAGTTAATAAAATATTTTATAAGAAAATGAGTTTTCCAAAAAAAGGCTTTTAAGAAAAAGGGGTGCGATGCGTGCAATGAGCCAAGCTCAAGTAATTATTTTCCAAAATACCCATACATGTGTTATGCTTATTGTTTTATTATGAGTATATGAGAATTGCATACTAGTTTAGGGTAAAGGATCTGCTCAGGATATGCATGATAGAATGTTAGGAGAGATGCCATTATTGTTGGATTAGGTGTCTAAGCCCATAACTATAATTGGTATGTACTTGATTTGATATGTAACATGGTCCTTTTGGGTTGCCTTCACTCATGCAACTTGACAGGATGACAAGTGGAGAGAGAGTAGAATTTATTATTTGAAATAATAAATTGGTACTCAAATGATTTTATTAATATATTACAAGATTAATATATTATTTGGAAATCGTTTTATTAATTAGTAATTAGTCAGAAATTAATTTGATATTAATTTTGGGACTAAAGGATCTGATTAATAATTGAAGGGGCTGTTTTGCAAATCACTGATAGTTGCAGAACTGGGCTATTGGACTCCTTAATTAGGAGTGGACGAAATCCTATAGGGAAGCCCTATAGATTTCGTCCAAGGCCTCATAAGGAGGATTCCATGAGCTGCTTAAGCCTTAAGCAGGAATTAGGGTTTCCTCCAGAAACCCTAGCAGCCCACAACTATATAAGGAACCCCCTAGGCATAAGGATTTCGGCCAATGCTTATGAAACCCTAGTGTAGCCGATTTCCTTGTCTCTCCTTCTTCATCCTTTGTATTGTGTGTTTGTGACTCCATTAGAGGTGCAACACTTAGGGCACTAAGCTTTCAAGAGTAAAGGACT